AGACTTAATGGTCTGACTGAGACTGGAGGAACCCCAGAAGACATGGCCCCTGGAATCTCTGTTAACCCAGAACTAAAACCACTCCTGAAGCCAACTCTTCAGACAAAGATTAGACTGGACTATAAGATATAAAATGATACTCATGAAGAGTGTGCTTCTTAGTTCAAGTAGATACACGAGACTAAATGGGCAGCTCCTGTCTGGAGGCCAGATGAGAAGGTAGAAAAGGGTTAGAAGCTGGTTGAATGGGCACGGGAAATCTGGGGTGGAAGGAAGGAGTGTGCTGTCACATTATAGGGATAGCAACTAGGGTCACCTAACAATGTGTGTATAAATTTTTGTATGACAAACTAACTTGAGCTGTAAACTTCCATCTAAAGTACAATTTAAAAAAAAAAAAAAAGCTGTTTGGAAGGTAGCTTTGTTCTTTAGCATAGGAGAAACTATCACTCTCCCCAAGCCAGGGAAAGAGCCTAAGTCCCCTTGCCAGGCTTACAGAAAGCTCCGTGATTAGAAGTTAATCCTGTTTTAGCATCTAATCCATGTAATTAATGGTTTTTCATTTTTATGTTTCTTTCATGATTTTGCTGCCCAATACCAGTATCTACATTTAATTGTTTTCACATAATTGTTTTAGACATATTTTAATATTATAGGAAATTAATAGTGTTTTTGAAGTACTTTTCAATTTAGCACCCACATAAATTCGTGTTGGATGTTTTCTATGAAAGCTGTTCTCTTCTCTTATTCTGCATAGGTTAGTTTTTCCTTGCTAATACATTCTGATAATATTGAGCACAGTGAATCTATATTTTAATATGCATAAATTCAAGTTGCTAGGTACATTGGGGAGCACTGGTGGTACAGTGGTTAAGAGCTCGAATACTGACCAAAAGGTTAGCAGTTTGAATCCACCAGCTGCTACTTGGAAACCCTATGGTGCCGCTCTACTCTGTCCTAAAGGGTCGCTATGAGTCGGAATCAACTTGACGGCAACAGGTATAAACATTGGAATTGCTAGAAAACTAAAACCTCTGGGTCAGAGATTGGAAACTGGCAGCCCTCTGACTTTATACGACTAGTTGCTAATGCTTAAAAATGTGGAGATTTCACATAAAACTCAGATTTGTTTTCTCTTAAAAAAGTAGAATTTCTGGCCAATAATGGACTAGATACACGTTAATAATGAACTGGAATTGCATAGTGATTATTCTTTTTGGAAGTGTAAGTCTTCTTCCCACCACTTGTCTGTCAGTTTGTCATACTGTGGTGGCTTGCATTTTGCTGTGGTGCTGGAAACTATGCCACCAGTATTTCAGATAGCAGCAGGGTCACTCATGGTGGACAGGTTTCAGCAGAGCTACCAGACTAAGACAGACTAGGAAGAAGGACCTGGCAATCTACTTCTAAAAAAGTTGGCCAGTGAAAACATTATGAATAGCAGTAGAACACTGTCTGATATAGTGCTGAAAGACCAGCTGCTCAGGTTGGAAGACACTCAAAATATGACTGGGGAAGAGCTGCCTCCTCAAAGTAGAGTCGAACTTAATGGAGTAGATGGAGTAAAGCTTTGGAGACCTTCATTTTTTGAATGTGACATGATCAAAATGAGAAGAAACAGCTGCAAACATCCATTAATAATCAGAACGTGGAATGTACAAAGTATGACTCTAGGAAAATTGGAAGTCGTCAAAAATGTATTGGAACGTATAAAGATGGATATCCTAGGTGTTAGTAAGCTGAAATGGACTGGTATTGGCCATTTTGAATTGGACAAGCATATGGTCTACTATGCTGGGAACGACAAATTGAAGAGGAATGGCATACCATTCATCATCAAAAAGAACATTTCAAGATCTATCCTGAAGTACAATGCTGCTAGTGATAGTATAATATCCATGTGCCTTCAAGGAAGACCAGTTAATATGACTATTATTCAAATTTACACACCAACCACTATGGCCAAAGATGAAGAAATTGAAGATTTTTACCAACTTCTGTAGTCTGAAATTGATCAAACAAGCAATCAAGATGCAATGATAATCACTGGTGATGGGAATGTGAAAGTTGGAAACAAAGAAGAAAGATCGGTAATTGGAAAATATGGCCTTGGTGATAAAAATGACACCAGAGATTGCATAACAGGATTTTACAAGACCAATGACTTATTCATTGCAAATACTTTTTTTAACAACATAAATGGTGACTATATACAAGGACCTCACCAGATGGAAAAAACAGGAATCAAATCAACTACATCTGTGGAAAGAGACTGTAGAGAAGCTCAATATCATCAGTCAGAACAAGGCCAGGGGCCGACTGCAGAACAGACCATCAATTGCTCATATGCAAGTTCGAGTTGAAGCTGAAGAAAATTAAAACAAGTCCATGAGAGCCAAACACCACCTTCAGTATATCCCACCTGCATTTAGAGACCATCTCAAGAATAGGTTTGATGCATTGAAGACTAATAATCACCAAAGACCACGTGAGTCATGGGATGACACCCAGGACATCATACTTGAGGAAAGCAGGAAAGAAAGAAAAGACCAAAATGGATGTCAGAAGAGACCCTGAAACTTGCTCTTGAACACAGAGTAGCTAAAGCAAATGAAAGAAATGATGAAATAAAAGAGCTGAAGAGAATATTTCAAAGCATAGCTTGAGAAGACAAAGTAAAGTTTCATAATGAAATGTGCAAAGACCTGGAGTTAGACAACCAAAAGGGAAGAACACCCTCGGCACTTCTCAAGCTGAAAGAACTGAAGAAAAAATTCAAGCCTTGAGTTGTAATATTAAACGATTCTATAGCAAAATATTGAACAACACAGGAAACATCAAAAGAAGATGTAAGGAATGCACAGTCATTGTGCCAAAAAGAATTGGTCGACATTCAACCATTTCAGGAGGTAGCATATGATCAATAACTGATGGTATTGAGGGAAGAAATCCAAGCTGCATTGAAGGCACTGGTGAAAAACAAGGCTCCAGGAACAGACGGAATACCAATTAAGATGTTTCAACAAATAGATGCAATGCTGGAAGCACCCACTCATCTATGCCAAGAAATTTGGAAGACAGCTACCTGGCCAACTGACTGGAAGAGAGCCATATCTGTGCCCATTTCAAAGAAAGGTGATCCAACAGAATGTGGAAATGATCGAACAATATCATTAATATCATTTGCTGAAGATAATTTAAAAATGGTTGCAGCAGTACATCGACAAGAACTGCCAGAAATTCAAGCCAGATTCAGAACAGGAAGTGGAACGAGGGATATCATTGCTGATGTCAGATGGATCTTGGGTGAAAGCAGAGAATACCAGAAAGATGTTTACCTGTATTTTATTCACGATGCAAAGGCATTCCACAGTGTGGACCATAACAAATTATGGATAACATTGCGAACAATGGGAATTCCAGAACACTTAATTGTGGTCATGAGGAACCTGTACATAGACCACAGAACAAAGGGATACTGTGTGGTTCAAAATCAGGAAAGATGTGTGTCATACTTTTCATCATATTCATCGTAGATATCCAATCTTTATGTTGAGCAAATAATCCAAGAAACTGGACTATATGAAGAAGAATGCAGCATCAGGATTGGAGGAAGGATCATTAACAACCTGTGATATGACGGTGACACAACCTTGCTTGCTGAAAGTGAAGAGGACTTGAAGACTTTCTGATGAATATCAAAGACTACAGCCTTCAGTATGGATTACACCTCAACATGAAGAAAACAAAAATCCTCACAACTGGAACAATAAGCAACGTTATGATAAATGGAGAAAGTGTTGAAGTAGTTAAGGGTTTCATTTTACTTGGATCCATAATCAACGCCTATGGAAGCAGCAGTCCAGAAATCAAACGACACATTGTGTTGGGCAAATCTGCTGCAAAAGACCTCTTTAAAGTGTTAAAAAGCAAAGATGTCACCTTGAGGACTAAGCTGAGACTGACAAGCCTCATATGCATGTGAAAGCTGGACAATGAATAAGGAAGACCAAAGAAGAATTGATGGCTTTGCATTACGGTATTGGCAAATACCATGGATTGCCAAAAGAACAAACAAATTTGTCTTGGAAGAAGTACAACCAGAATGCTCCTTAGAAGCAAGGATGGCGAGACTACGGCTCACATAATTTGGACATGTTATCAGGAGGAATCATTCCCTGGAGAAGGACATCATGCTTGGTAAAGTAGAGGGTCAGTAAAAAAGAGGAAGACCCTCAATGACATGGATTGACACAGTGGCTGCAACAGTGGGCTCAAACATAGCAATGATTGTGAGTATGGCGCAGGACCAGGCAGTGATTCATTCTGTTGTGTGTAGGTCATTAAGGGTCAGAACCGACTTGAGGGCACCTGACAACAACAAAGTCTTCTCCAATTTGCTGCAGTTCTTACCTTTCTTTAATTTCTTACACGTGGTTTTCTTTTATGTACATTTTTCTGATCTAGGCGAATAAGAATATAAATCGACATGTGTGTGAAAAAATTCCTTACTTTTTTCATTAATTAATTAGTGAAGACATCATAAAACTTCTTTACTTTCTTGGGTTTTTTGATACATGTATTTCCTTAAAATGTGGTAAGAAATACAGAGACATTAGAAGAAGTTACCATCCAGAGATATCAACTTTCTTAGTCCCAACTTTACACACACCCACTCCATTGGCTGGTGATAAAGAAGATGACTGGAAATGTTTATGCTTCTTGGAGTTCCACTATCTTGCGCTGTAACTTCTTTAGATCTTTCTGGACTTTATATTTCTGTAATTGCATCTTTGTTTTCTGTATTTGTTGAAGGGAGCTGAGAGAGTCATGAATTGATTTAAAACCTGGTATGAGAACAGGTATACTTAAATTAAACAATGCATTGGAAGAGTTGCTAATCAGTCCCATTACAACTGATCATCATTTAATTCAAAGCACATTAAATTCCATTCAGATCAGTCTAAAAATGTATAATAATCCATTTTCTTATATGTCAGAAAGATGCATTAGCAAAAGTACTTCATTTTGTATCTGGTTTCATTGTGAAAATTTAATTTAATTCTCCTTATCCCTCCTCCAAATATATTGCAAAATGAAATAATTCTATATTTCAAGAAAGAAATTTAAAATATTTTCTTATTTTTGTATACTTTGGTTGACAAAAGATAGTGGGTGATCGCTTTTTTAATTCTTGTTACCAAACTGAAGATACAGACCACAGATAAGAATTTAGAACTTCTCTGAAAGTCACGTTTGAGGGACCTAAAGAATGGCCCTTTACCAGTCCCTCCACCCCCCAGCACTTTGTATCTCTCTCTTGACATTTATAGTCACTCATGACCCCAGAATTACCAGACCCCAAGCTCCTTAGGGTACAGCCCATTTCTCATTCAAGAGACCTCTCCCATAGTAATTTCTCAACACATTGTTATTGAAAGCAGAAAGGAGGAAACCATTAATTTGGAGTCCCTGTTTGCCAGAACTTCCACTTAGTAAAATGTAGAAACAAGAAGATTTTAAATTCCTCTTCAGCTCATCCTGGGGTTGTCCTCATGGAATGAGTAAAATTAAACTTCTGATAGTTAAGCTAAAAGCAAGGCCCTAAAAGAAGAGCCAGTTGAGTTTGGAACATAATTCCTGGCCAGAAAAATTGTTATTTACATTTGGTGTTGATGGTGAGGAGGTGTGGTGAATGTCAAATTTCCAGGCAGTGAATTCTACTTATATGCCAGGAACATCTGGCCAGTGAAACCACCTCTTCACAAGGCCCCTCAAGGCATCTCTATGTGGGACTAAAACTTGGTAGAATTTACAAATAAATTTTTCTGAGCTTTAGAAGACAAAATGGTTTGGGGCTTTCTCTAATAAAGGAATCCTTCTAATTCCTAGTAATTCCCTTCGAATTGTGACTCGAGGCAGATGGCTGCCCCACAGCCCTATCCCAAACCCATCCCTTTTTACAAATTAGATGAGCCTTTCAAATTAATCCTTTTTGATGTTAGCTCAGCTTGACACTGCTGCCGTTCGCCCCTCAAGAAGAAAAGCAGCCATTATGCTGGACTTTGCTAATTCATCTCTCTCACTTTTAAAGGTCAGGTCTCCAGTCTGACATCTGCCCAGGCTCATTATCTGCAGTTTAGTGAGAGGGTCATTTGATTTAAGCTCCTATTTTCATGATAAACCCACAAATCAGGTCTTGGTGATCTCCAAAGACCTTTCCAAGTCTAAAAGTTCTGTGATTCTATGACCTTAGAGAGAAAAAAAATTCAAAGATTTGGCAGTCTTGCGACACTGCCAAGTATGAATGAGGAAAGTTAATTTATTTACTTACCTTCCAGTAGTATGCTGACGTCCTGTATGATATTTCAGAAAGTTCAATCAAATACATAAGGATGTCACTAATGACAAGATTGATCCCAGGCCATTAGCCGAAAGTAGAAAACTCTGGGCAGGCAAGAACTGATTTTTCCTTACTTAATTAACGGCATCTGCTCACCTGTTTGATATTCAGTCTGCATTTTCTCTAATTCACCCCAGATCTGCTTTTCCAGTTGGCTCATCTTTTTGGACACTTTATTTTCTACCTGCTTTATTTTGTTCTGTTCTGCTTCCTGTTTCTGTGTGTTAATGAAATTCTCTAACTTGCTTGAAAGCTGCAGCAATTTTCCTTCCATTTTATTTTCGGACTTTTCCTGTAAGAGATATTATGTGATAAAACTCTGCAGAAAAGAAAAACTATGTGGACTTGTATTTCAGCTTAGAGAAAATGTTTTTAACAAATTCACTTTTGCATGTTAAACATGAAAATTCAAACCAAGTTCTTTTGTATCTCAAACTGTGTTCCCAAGTGTTAGAGTTAATCCCTTTGTCTGACCATGTTCATTTGTAGTTTCTGGAATTCTCCAGGGGCTGTAGGAATTGTTTAGAGCTGTACCCTAAAAGGAAAAAAAAGACATGTGGCCTTCCTGAAATGTCTTGAGGATTTGGAGTTTTAATTTAGTGTTAAAGAAGTGTACCAAAGGAAGAGGTTTTAGATAGCACCTTAACTGAGTTCCTTGGATATGTTTGTGAGTAATAGAAGTCTTTATTCTCTTAATCTTCATATTTCCACATGGACAGACTTTGATAGACCAGTAATTCTCCACCCCCCCAGTGACCACTAGAATCACTTGAGCTATGCCCCATCCCCAGAAAGTGATTTAATTGTTCTACAATGGAGCCTATGACAGGCATTGGTGGTTCAGTGGTAGAACTCTACCTTCCATGCCGGAGACCCAGGTTCAATTCCCAACCACTGCACCTAATGTGCAGCCACTACCAATCTGTCAGTGGAGGATTGTGTGTTGCTATGATGCTGAACAGGATTCAGTGGAGCTCCCAGACTAAGAAGGACTAGGAAGAAAGGCCTGGTGATATACTTCCAAAATTCAGCCAGTGACAACCCTATGGAGCACAATGGTCCAATCCACAAATGATCACAGGGATGGCACAGGAGCAGGCAGCATTGGCTTTGTTGTGCATGGGGTTGCCATGAGTTGGGGATGGAGCCGAATGATGGCGGCTAACACCACCACCACCACAATGGAGCCCAGATGATTCTAATGTGAAGCGAGCATGGAGACTGCTGACACAGCCTAATGCAAATTAACTTCTTTTCTCCTCACTCCCCAAAAGAGAAATGTGAGCAAGAACTGGGGGGCTACTGGCTTTTCCCCTTTGGTCCTCTTCTCTGGCTGCCTGCCTCATGGGTGGGCTGTGGGTTCTGGTCTCTGCCTTATGGTGGGGGCTCTGCCTGCAGGGTGACCCCATGGTCACCTGGTGCTGCCAAGTTCAGCGAGTCTGCCTACTTCAGGGGTGCAGAATGAGCAGGTCCACCTGGTCACAGATGAAACAGCACAGGCTTCAATAGCCTGATCAGCCATAAAAGCTGGTATGTTATCTCCCTCTCTCTGACTTCTGTCTCTAACACTTGTTCACAAACTCAGGTGGGGGGCTGAGGGTGTTCCTTACTGGGCTGCCTAAAGCCCTCTCCTGAAGTTCCAGAAACATCTTATTTGAATCATTCACCAGCAGGGCTGCCCCCACTGTTTACACTGGTGGCCTGCACTGCCCACCGCCCCCCGCCCCCATTGGGTCCCAGCAGCCTGGCCAGCTGTGCTGGTGGAAGTGGCAGAAGGAAGTCTGGAAGCAGTCTTCTCATATACCCTGGTGGCCTCACCCCAAAGCATGGGGGTTCTCCATAAGATCTGATCTGCAATAGGAGTTTTGAAACCTTTTATCTACTAACTGAGCCCCAGCTGGAAAGGATCAATGGCTTGTCGAAAGCAGAGGTTTTCAAGCTTTATTGTGCCCAAGATCACCCAGGGAGCTTGTCTAAAGCCAAAGATTCCCAGGGGAGCCCCCAGATAGTCTGATTCCCTAGGCCTGCGGAGAGACCAGGAATTTGTATTTTTTAAAAATTTCTTCAGAATATTCTGGTACAGGTAGAGTACATCTGAGAAACATGGGTTCGCAGAGTCAGGAAGTAACAAACAGGGACCAGAAGCCAGGACTCCTCCTCTGGACTCCCATTCGGGTGTTCTTTGCATTGTCGCCTTACTGACTGTAAAAAACGTGTTACTGAAAAGGCAATGAAGATTACTGTAAGTGTTGAAGTGTGAGCTTCACAGATTGCTACCATCCAGACAATGACAGTTATGGGATGAATTGGGTCCCCCAAAAAGATGTATTGAAGTCCTAACCCTCATGCCTTTGAATGTCACCTTATTTGGAAAAAGGGCCATTGCAGACTGTCATGGATTGAATTGTGTCCCCCCAAAAATGTGTGTAGCAACTTAGCTAGGTCATGATTCCCAGTATTGTATGATTGTGTTATCTGATGTGATAAACTCTATAGCTATGAGATTATATGTGATCTACTTATGTGTTGTAAATTCTATCACTGTGATGAGGTTACACTGATGAGGTTGACAAGATTAGATAGTGTCTTAATGCAATCTCTTTTGAGATAGAAAAGACAGAAGCGAGCAGAGACACATGGGAACCACACACCACCAAAACAGCAGTGCTGGGAGCAGAGCGTGTCCTTTGGACATGAGGTTCCTGTGCTGAGATGCTCCTAGACCAAGGCAAGACTGATGCATCACAAGGACTTTCCTCCAGAGTTGACAGAGAGAGAAAGCCTTCTTCTGGAGCTGATGCCCTGAATTTGGACTTGTAGCCTACTGGACCATGAGAGAATAAATTTCTCTTTGTTAAAGCCATCCACTCATGGTATTTCTGTTAGAGCCGCACTAGATGACTAAGACACAGATGTAATTAATTCAGTTGAGATGAGGTCGTTAGGGTAGGCCGTAACCTCTTTATGACTGGTATCTTTATAAAACACAGAGACAGAGAGGCACAGAGGGAAGATGGCCATGTGAGGAGGAGGCAGAGATTGTAGTGATGCTGCCACAAGCCAGGAACACCTGGGGCTATCAGAAACCAAGAGCGACAAGGAAGGGTCTTCCACTAGAGCCTTTGGAGAGAGCATGGCCCTACTGTCACCCTGAATACGGACTTCTAGACTCCAGAACTGTGAGACAATACATTTTTGTTGTTTTAAGCCACACAGTTTGTGGTAGTTTGTTGCTGCAGACCTAGAAACTATACAAGGACCATACAGCAATTTACTTAGTGAAGTAACAACACCCCTTACCAGTTTCTCCTGTAGAAACTTCAGACACTGATTTATGTGGCCGAGCTGGTCTTTTCCATATTTGATGAACTGGTTTTCTGTCCATTTTTTATTGTTTTCCACTTCTTCATAGAGATTATTTGAAAGTGAATTAAATCTAAGGAAAAAAAATGTTTTATTCAGTTTTAATAAGTAAACTTAAACAACAAAATTTAATGTGTTGAAAAAGTCTGCTGTTTTTTCCGATGATTAGGCTCAGTGTGACTACTCAAGTATTTATGGGGTTCTATGGGAGGTGGATGGAGCCCCTGGTGGTACAGTGGCTTAAGCACTCAGCTGCTAAACGAAAGGTCGGCAGTTCGAACCCTCCAGCTGCTCCATGGGAGAAAGATGTGGCAGTCTGCTTCCATAAAGATTTACAGCCTTGGAAACCCTATGGGGCAGTTCCGACTGTTGCTGTGAGTTGGAATTGATTCTATGGCAATGGGTGGGAGGTGGGGAGGCAAGGGAAGTGCACTTTGGGTCCTTGTGCTGAGTTTGTGTTCAGTCTAGTGGCTGACAATACCTGTCTACACATACACCCTATACCTTGATACACATACACACAGTGACAAGGAGCACAAGGAGCACAACCACAGCCAGTCAGAAATGCGTGTTACGCCATGCCAAATTCCTCTCAGGGCCTGGGTGCATTGTTTGGATTTGAAAGAAGTACTTTGATAAGTCACTTGGGGTGGGAACTATTACTTTATGGCAGAAGTTAGCAAACATCTTCTGTAAAGAGCCAGATAGTATGCATTTTAAGCTTTGTGGGCCACACAGTCTCTGTGTTAACCTCTCAACTCTGCCTTTGACGTGGGAAACCAGCCATAGATCTGTAAATAAATGAGTACGACTCTGCTAAAATCAGACTTTATTTATGGACACTGAAATCTGAATTTCATGTAATTTTCACATGCCGTGAAATATTTTTTTTTTAATTATTAAAAAATGTAAAAAACATTCTTAGCTGTGAGTTGTAAAAAAAAACAAACCATGGGCCAATTTGTCTCAAGGATGGTAGTTTGCCAGCCCCTGCTCTACAAGGGTCTCTGTGAGGCTGAGGGAGGACCTGGGGCATCGAAGATCAACACTGGCTACCAGAGAGGAGATAAGTCAGAGAGGAGCAGGGAGAGAGGAAGAGAGCCCTAAAAGGATTGTGGGAAAGCGGAGTATCCAAGGGAAACTTCGGGTTGTCTCCTCTGTCTCAGGTGAAACCTTCAGTAAAGTCTCCACTGCCATCAGTGGATCTGTGTGAGTGGATTCTTTCGGAGGGACTTAAAGAAGTACCAAGTTATTCTGGTCTGGGGCAAAATCAGACACAAGCCAGAGGTGCAAGAGGGGACTACTGGCATCAGGGTTACACACTATAACCAGTTAACCAGTTGCTGTGGAGTCAGTTCTGACTCATGGTGACTGCATGTGTGTCAGAGTAGAACTGTGCTCCATAGGGTTTTCAATGGCTGCTTTTTCAGAAGTAGATCACCAGGCCTTTCTTCTGAGGTTCTTCCGAGTGAACTTCCAACTTTTTGGCTAGTAGCCTAGAGCTTAATCATTTGTACCACCTAGTGACCATAGAAGTGTTAGATAAGAGAAGATAAAGGATTTTAAAAAATGGGTGTGGATGTGATTAAAAGGACTGGAATCATATACGATCAATTTGAAAAATCTGTAGGGTGGGTGAAGGTTTGAGCAGGGAGGTAAACCTTGATGGAAAATTGCCATGGATTGAACTGTGTCCCCCAGAAATATCTGTCAGCTTGGCTAGGTCATGATTCCCAGTATTGTATGATTGTCCATTTTGTTATCTGATGTGATTTCCCTATGTGTTGTAAATCCTACCTCTATGATGTTGATGAGATGGGATTAGCGGCAGTTTTGTTGATGAGATCTACAAGATTAGATTGTGTCTTAAGCCAATCTTTTTTGAGATATAAAAGACAGAAGAAAGCAGAGAGATAGGGGGACTTCATGCCACCAAGAAAGCCCTGCCAGGAGCAGATCGTGTCCTTTGGACCCGGGGTTCCTGCACAGAGAATCCCCGAGTCCAGGGGAAGATTGATGATGAGGACCTTCCTCTAGAGCCAGTGGAGAAAGCCTTCCCCTGGAGCTGACACCTTGAATTTGGACTTCTAGCCTACTCGACTGTGAGAATAAATTTCTCTTTGTTAAAGCTATCCACTTGTGGTATTTCTGTTATAGCAGCACTAGATGACTAAGACAGGAATTCACATCGGAAATAACAGAGATGTGAGACTGAGAAGAATGGTTTTTGTATATATCTTCTGGGTGTGACTTGCTCATGGTAAGACATCAATTTCAAATTCCTTTTAGAATTGGGTAAAATATTAGATTGGCAGGAACAACACCTATTGTTTATTATTGAAAATATTTAGGCTACTTTACAGTGTGTAGGTGGCTTGAAGTCATATTTGCTTTAATGCTTTCAGGTAAAATTATATCCAGAGAATTTAGTTTGTGATATTTATCACTGGGAATTGCTTAAAACATGCTGGAAATACACTGCATGTACATGCCTCTCTTACTCTCCTGAAAAAGCCTTTGGACTAATAATGAGAGAAGACAAGTTCTGTGAGGTCATCTCCATTTTCATTTAGAGTAATGGTTCTCAACCTGGGTGATTTTGCCCCTGGGGGACATTTGGCAATGTCTGGAGACATTTTTGGTTGTCACAACTGGGAGTTGCTACTGACACAGGACAGCCCCCCACGTCAAAGAATTACCTAGCCCAAAATAGGGCCAAGGTTAAAAAACCCTGATTTAGATGATGAAACCAAGGAATGGGAAAAGCAAGATCATTTTCCAATAGTTTTATTAGTGTAGTATAATAACTAAATTCTGATCTTCGTTCCTCTAAATTTTCCCATTTCTCTTGATATAGACAGGGATATTTTTCATAGAGAAAGGAGACCTTTGATTCAGATGAGTATTGCAACTTGGAAGAAGAAATGGTTTGCTCTTCTTGCAGAGCCCTGATGGTGCAGTGGTTAGAGATATGTCTGCCAATCAAAAGGTCAGCAGTTTGAATTCACCAGCTCCTCCTTGGAAACCCTATGGGTCAGTTCTGCTCTGTCCTGTAGGGTTGCTATGAGTCAGAATCAACTTGACAACAATGGGTTTGGTTTGGTTGGTTCTTAATCTAATCGTAATTCCCAGTTACCTGAGTTACTTGCTAACAGCTGTTGGATCTCAGACGAAGAAGCCCACAAACTGATAGGCAGACAACCTCATACTAGCCATATTTCCTCTATTCAGAACAGTCTTCCCCAGAATATCCGACGGCCTCTGCCCTCATTTCATTCAAATTTATATCCAAGTGCCACCTTACCAAAGAAGACTTATTTTTTAAATCACCCTAAAAAAATAAAAAAGGACTCCTCCTCCCCACCCGGCATCCTTGTTCCCTTACCCTACTTACTTTTTTCCAAAATACGCATCACTATCTGATTCATTACATACTAATCCATGTGCAGGCTCCTTCCCTAGAACTTAAGCTCCATGAATGGAAGGGTTTTTCATTGTTCATGACTGTGAACTATGCCTGGAATACAGTCGATGCTCAATAAATAGTTGTCAACTAAATGAACAAATGGGTCATCCTTTCTCATAAAATACCTTTTATTAGAGCTGCTGACAAATAACAAATCATAGACTTGTCAAAGTCCATCTAATCTACTCCAATTTTCATCTTTCCTTCCCTGTCTCTGGTGTGTTATTAACAGTGACGGCTAAGGGGGGTTGTAAATCCCCAGATGATTAAGAAGTAGCTTTACAACTGATTGGGAATCCAGACTTCAGTGTTCACTTTTACTATGTAAATAAATGAAAGCATTTACACTCATCACTGATACAATATTAACATCCCTCTGAAAACCAAGAAACCATTAAACGTGCCCAAGTAATAATAACTTTGGAAGGGCATATCAGTAGTTGAAATCCTGAAATTAAATAAAGCCATAAAGAATGAATTCTTATTTATAGCATTTTTATTATAAGGTTTTGCCTGCATGTTAGAGATAACAATCAGAAGTCAGACTCTGTCTGTCGTGTTTTATTAAAATAAGAAAGCATTTTAAAAACACATTCTCCTAGAAAGTTAAAAAGAATAAGAAGGAATAAAAATTTACGTAGATTTTTCTTAGACATTTCCCTAACATAATGGATATGATTTACCTTGTAAGAAGAATTACTTTTTCGTGAATTATTGAACTTACAGTTACAATCTCAACAAGATGAATTTATCTTAGATGACATCACATTTTAGTTCTCAAATCTTCTATTCCAATTTTCTATTCCAGTGTCTCTATCAGATGTGGATGGATATAGATAGATGAACAGATGGATGGATAGACTTTTAAATTATGGCCAGAGTTCTTACTAGGAATATGTTTTATTTTTATTTTCATAATGGTGGAATCAGGTAAAATGCACATCAAGGACAATATAAGGGAGAAATTTACAAAAGGGTTAGGGAAAATTTAACAGGGATTTATAGAGCCTAGGGAATAGAGCTGTGGTAAAAGTGAACGGTGAGGGCAGAAAGTCAGGCTTCAAACAAACATACTGGTGACCACCATGGTTATGGCTGACGTACGTAAATGAGGACATAGTTTCATCATGGGCAATTCTATCAGTTCACTTATGTCCCAAACCTAGTGTCTTGCATTAGGGGAAATCTGTTGAATAAACTTATCTAAAAGATGTGAAAATTTTGAATTCCCAGAAACTGTTAACATTAACAGGTTCTCATGAATTTAGATAGTGGCTTTGACTATGACTATATAGAGAATTAGTGGCCGTTGATGGGCTGATAAACACAGAAGGTTTTTGTAATCATATTTGGAAAAGTCTTCATGATAGATTATGAGTTATTTATTTCATTGGAGATGGAGTCTAATATTTGAAGTTTCATGCCAGAAGTAAGAAATCAATTCCAAATATTCACACACATATATATATATATGTATGTATGTGTGTGTGTGTGTGAATATTTGGAATTTATATATATATATATGATACTAAGTTTATACCTATAGGGAGAACTCTCTTGAACTAATTTCTTCTTAATGTTCTGTGATTTCCAACTACTAACACTAATTAGAAAGTGATTCCAATACTACTCTGCTACGAAGACTCTTTTTTTTTTGCTAGGAAGACTCTTGTTTCTTGGTCTTTCCAAGTTGCACTTGAACTTAAATCCTAATAATTTTATAGCCTGTTTTCTTGGTCACTCAAGCAATATACGATCTTTTTTCTCCCCTAAATTTCTGCAGCACAATTAGTTTACTAACCATCACGTAGATGGAATCAAGGGATGGAGGTGACATGGATTTGTAAAACTAAACCAAGGCTTTGGAGTCAGACACTTTCTAGCTGTGTGACCTTGGGCAAATTATTTAGTCACTCTAATTCTAAATTTCTTCATCTTTAAAATGGGGATAAGACTTACCCTGCATATCTGGGCGCATCTGGAGCATCCAGTGATTGGTAGGCATTTTCCATATTTATTATTATTTTTGCCTACTGATATAGTAACACTGTTTTAATGCTTACCTGTGTTCAGCGTTTTACTTATTTATGTGCCTCCTCCCTAGCTATATATGGCTAGGATCATGTCTTTGGATTCTAAAACACTATTTGCATGTTATAGGTGCTCAGAAATCATTCATTCATTCATTCATTTGGCCAAAATTCATTTCTGCTGAATGTGCTGGTTACTAAAGATACAAAGGAGAATGAGACATGTCCCCACCTTGGGCAGAGTTTGTAACTTTCTACTAGGGTAATGTTTTCATGTGAAAGCTGAACAATGAATAAGAAAGACAGAAGAAGAATTGATGCATTTGAATTATGGTGTTGGTGAAGAATACTGAACATACTATGGAATGTCAGAAGAACAAATCTGTCTTGGAAGAAGTACAACCAGAATGCTTCCTAAAAGTGAGGATGGCGAGACTTTGTCTCACTTACTTTGGACATGTTATCGGGAGGGATCAGTCCCTGGAGAAGGACATCCTGCCTGATAAAGTAGAGGGTCAGAGAAAAAGATAAGATGGTGGATTGACACAGTGGCTGCAACAATGGGCTCAAACATAACAACAAATGTGAGGATGGCACAGAACTGGGCAGTGTTTTGTTCTGTTGTACACAGGGTTGCTATGAGTCAGAACTGACTCAACGACACCTAACACACGCACACACACACACAAGTTTTCAAAGTTGTGGTAAGACTTGAATGTATGCATTTGCTTCATTGCTTCGTTACTACAAATACTTGTTGTTTTCTTATGAATCATTGCTGACTAAATAGCATCAACAACAAGAATTATCTGTGGAGCGACCGGCAGGTGTGCCCCTGCCAAACTCTTGTTAAAAGATGAGTGTATTTCATGATGGCTGAGAGTCTTGCTATATAAGCACTAAGTTGTTGGCTTAGGATATTACTTAGCTGAACATCTGGCTAAGACCCTTCTGGAAGGAGGAGGCTCGATGGAGGGGCTCAGATAACAGAGTCATTTGCCTCCTTTGTCAGTTCCAGTGATCTGCCAAAGTCTCAGGAATTCGCTAGAAAACCCCAGACAATACTGTGGCTTTTAAGTTCAATATATAATGTAAATTTAGTAGAACATTAAATTCGAATTTTGGAAGTTTTTAAATGGGAAAATTTCTCCATTAAACTTACCTTTTAATGTTATTAAAATTATTTTATTTAAAAGTTAATCTCTTTGGTCCCAGTTTTTTCTTTAAAAAAAGAAAAAGAGGAAATCTATACCGCATCCACCTTTTTAAAAATTTATATGTATCTCAATATCCTAACATTAGCAATGATTTATTACAATTTTTTAAAGGTGTGGAAAAATTTTTTCTTGTTCTTGTTTGAAGGCATACTTGCTAAAAGCTAAAATCCAATATGTCAGATAAAAACAGACTGTTCTAATTGAGAGAGAGAGAGCTTTACCTCCCTTGCTTTCTCTTTGAGCAAAATATATATATATATATTTTTTGCAATATATAGCCCAGTCAAAGAGTTAATATTCCTAATGTGAAGGAATCCTATAAATTGATAAGAAAATGATAAAAATCCCTGTGCAGCATTGGACAAACGGTAAGAACAGGCAATTCACAGAAAAGGAAGTTCAAATGGTGAAGGGAATGCAAATTGAAACAAGATGCTATTTTTTATTCTTTGATGGAACTATTAAAAGGAGAAGATCTAGTGCTGGCAAGAATGCAGAGAAAGGCCTTCTCATACATTTCTTGTGGGAGTGTAAACTGTTATGCTTTTAGAAATTATTTTAAAAAATTAATAAATACGTATCCCCTTTGACCCAGGAATCTTGCCTATAGAAATAAAATAACAGTATCTAAGAATAGCTAAGGATATACACACAAGAATTATTATTATAAGACTATTTGTGGTGGCCATAAACTGGAAATAATCTATTCAGCAAAGAGATACATTATTCAATTAATTATGGCATATCTGTAAATTAGAATATTATACAGCTGTTAAAATAATGTTAGAATAATATTCACTGATCTAGAGAGATATCCAGAATGTACTACAAAAAAGCAAATTATGGAGTAATTTATTTAAAAAACCTATATTTTTATATGTATAATGTATGTAGTATGTGTGTATACACACACACATATAGGCACATATATAACTTTTTTCTGTTATATGTTTATATGAACAAAGATGAAAGTATGGAAGAATACATTCCTGGCTAGGAAGCTGGGATAGAGGCCTCTTTTTCAACTTTGTTTATTTCTTTGTTTGTGGGAATGCACATTACTTTTTAATAAAAAATATGATGGAGAAAATTTAAATGAAAAATCGTCAGTCATGTAATTGAGTTATTAGAGCTCATAAGTATTTGCCTGGCTAAAAATCTAGTTTAAATATTCACTGTTACCTACTGTAATACTAATGAAATTTTGGACTTCATTATTTAAAGTGAGAAAAAGATGCAAGTTTACACTATTACAAAAGTGTCCAGATTCATATTTAGCTGTTTAGATGACACTTCTACTTTCAATTTCCCATAGTATCAAAGATGGAAAAAGTAAGCAGTACCATCAATGAAACATTCAGCCCTAGATCAAACATTTCCTTTCTTTCTCATGCCCATTATACCTTATATCTTTAAACCAGTCTTCCATTCCAGATTATAAATTCCATCTCTTCCTTACAAGATCAGTTTTTAAACTGTATTTCTAGAAACAGTTTATTTTTCTACTTCTCTTTTGCACACTTTATCTTAATTCCAGGATAAAGGAATTAGATCAGGCACCACACAGGTATTTGCTGGGTACCCTCATTGTGCTAGAATTTAAGAACCTAGGAATACTTCCTTACAGTATGAAGAAAGTAGGTATTTTCTGTTTACTCAATATACATATCCTTCTTTGAGTTTTAGTGATGGCTAGTTTTTTTTTTTTTTTTTTTTTTGTTAATCAATTTCTAGGACACACACATTCCCAATTTTAAGATCTGTGAAATTGGGATGTGACCTAGAGATATATATATAAAAAAAATAATGGTACATCTTAAAGTTAATGGCACTTGGTTAATAAAACACGGTAGACACAGGTGAAAATAGAGCAAGTGAAGTATTATCAAAATATTGGATTTGACCAAGGCATTAAACACAAGTGATGTGGGACAGGGAGGAAAAAGAACAAGGGTAGAAGGGGGCAATAAGAAAGTGTCATCCAAGTGACTAGAATTTTCTTCTTCCTTCATCATGACCCTGGGAAATGGGGGTCATTTAAACGAGAAGGAGGGGATTCAAGAATAAGGAGGCCAAAAAATTGAGTATTTGTAGAGCTTTGTTTACTGCTTTCTCTATAACAACAACAACAACAAAAATCCCAAACCTGTTGCTGTTGAGTCTATTCCAACTCATGGCGACCCTAAAGGACAAAGTAGAACCACCCCATAGGGTTTCCAAGGAGCAGATGGTGGATTTGAATCACCGACCTTTTGGTTAGCAGCCAAGCTCTTAACTACTGTGCCACCAGGACTCCTCTTTCTCTATGGGGTAGGGAAAATAGTTTAAGATGCAATAGAGACCACAGTCTCAAAATGGATAATGTAAAGAAGTGAGTGGAGGATCTTTGAAAAAAATCTTTAAAAATTTTTAAAAAATAATCTTAGAGGTTAAATTTATATTCAATAGTGCTTTATATTCCAGCATTTTAGCATACAATTGCTGATAAGTTAAAATTACTATACAGGAAGGATCAGGATGAGTATGTCAATTCAGCTGAGATATGCAAAGAAAATGAGAAAATTAATATTCATATTTCTTCTTTTATTATGAATATTGCATAAGTTACTTTAGTGTAGACTATTCTCTGCATTAGTGTGCTGCTTTATTTCCTGGCCAGGTTCAGATTCCTGGGATAGATTTTCATAAAATACCAATGCTTTCATTAGGGAAAACTGTTTGGAATGCATTTAACAGAATTAAAAATCTTCCATTCACTTACTTGAACTCCAAAAGGTCCATTTCGTGGTGATAATTCCCCTGGACCATCTTTAAATTTGAGGTTTGCTCAGAACTGGAAGCCTCTATCTTTCCTAAGAGCTGCATTACCTAATGAAAGTACAAGAAGGAGCTTTTTTCTCTGAACAATACCACCAGCACTTACATTAATTGTACTTTATATGTAAAGGAGCCAGGAAACAGACTTGAACCTAAAGCAAACTTGCATTTGAAAATGATGTTTTTCAAATGAATGTGATTCAATATTTATAGAACTATCCCCACAGAAAGACTAGTGGGGGATATTCCGTTCTGTTGTCTATAATACTCTTTTTGATAATAGGCTACTTAATGATTTAATGGACACATACTATTGGTTTAGTTTATTTATTAATCTCCCCTCTTCCTGCAGCTCCCTCCCCATTTTTCCCTCACAGGTTTTAATTGATTATTTCTTTATTTTCTGTCTCCCTGGGTATAATGCAAGCTCTGTGGTTTACCACTCTGTCCTCAGTGACTATTAGGTGACCCATGGTAAATATTCAACAAATACTTACGGAATAAATGTTTAAATACACAGTTAGACTCGGAGGAAAACACACGAGTGGTCTAAAACTTGGCCCCAGAGATTTCCAGTTAGGATTCAGACATGGGCACAAGTGAATCCCAGATGAAATGATTTAGGGCATATAAAGACTGGAATAGACAAGTTCCAGTTCTGGAAACTAGGATAAGAGTGTCTTCTACATTGCCAGAAACATTGAGGAATTTCCTTTTGGTAAAAAGAAAAAAAAATTGAAAAATAGATGCAGAATTGCAGCATTAAAACTATAAATTAGTAAGAAAAGTACAAAGAAACAAAAATCTAATCACTTGAGTAAAAAAAGCACCCTTTTAATTCTAGTGACCATGGAAATACATCTCTCAGATCTGCTGCTGTGGGGAACGTAATTGGCCAAGGGCCCTGACTGCTGTGCTGAGGCCATACTTCCCATAGGTTGCTCCTAGCCAGAGTCTGAGTAGTACCCCTCTGATGGGCCAAGGAACTCGTTGCAACTTTCTTAGGATGGCACTGCAGTCTCAGACCTTCCTTCCCCATCTTTTTCACAGGAGTCAGGCCTACATTGTAGTTCGAAGGCTCTCCCCACCTCCTCCAACTCCCTCCCCATTTTTCCCACACAGGTTTTTCCCTCAATAAATCTCTTGCCCATCTAATTCTGTTTTGGCATTTGCTAAGACTCTGGACTAACACAGGTGTCAAACTGTAAATCAACACTGTAATTACAATTTACTTAGAAAATCATGATGACATTACATATCAAAAGGACAAAGCCAAATTTATAATTTCAGGTAAATTCATGGCATTAGATGTTTTCATAATTAAATCAGAAAGAATAAAGCTGTGCAAGCTAACCATTCATTTCACAAAGTTAAAAAGGCACTAACAAACCTAACCACAGGAAAACACAATGAGGAAACTTAAGCTGTGTTAGGCAGACTGGTCTTACAAAAGTGCTCTGGAACTGATGAAAATATTATATTACATGGCTAAAGGGACTTAGATTACAGACCTTAAGATAGGGATATTATCCTGGATTATCTAAGTGGGCCCAATCTAATCACAGGAAGAATATTGAATATATCATGGACTGCCAGAGGAATGAACAAATCTGTGCTGGAAGAAGTACAGCCAGAATGCTCCTTAGAAGCGAGAATGGCGAGACTTCGTCTCACATACTTTGGACATGTTATCAGGAGGGACCAGTCCCTGGAGAAGGACGTCATGGTTGGTAGAGTACAGGGTCAGCAAAAAAGAGGAAGACCCTCAATGAGATGGACTACACAGTGGCTGCAAAAATGGGCTGAAGCATAACAACGATCGTGAGGATGGCACAGGACCAGGCAGAGTTTTGTTCTCTTGTACACAGGGTCACTATGAGTCAAAACCAACATGACGGCACCTAACAACAGCAAACATATTGCCGGTGGGTGTGCAATATGGTAAAAGCCTTATGGAGAGCAATGTGGCAAGATCTGTCAAAATAACAAACACATGTGCCCTTTCACCCACCAATCCCATGTCTGGTTGTTTATCTTACACATATCCCTACACATATACAAAATGACAAATGTGCAAGGTTATTCATTGTAGCATTGTTTGAAAGAGCAAAAAACTGGAATATCCATCTATAAGGGCCTGACAAAATGAATTATTGTATAGTCATACAGAGGAAGAGTATGCAGTATATACTGATACGCAAAGAGCTCCAGGGTATATTTGTTTAGTTAAAAAAAAAATCAAAGTGCATAGCAGTATATATAATATGCTATCTTTTGTTGAAGGGCAAATAAGAATTTATATTTGCATTTGGTAGTTCCTGCATGAAGACATACTGGAAAGATCTACAACAGACTAATAAAAATGATTATGTGTGAGGGGTATGAGAGAATATGATGGTGACAGGGTAGAGGTGAGAGTTCTCAGCGTATATTTTCTTGATGTAGTTTTGGGTTTTGAACCAAATTTATGTATCACCGTAAAAAGAAAAAAAACTAAGCAAGGAGAGAACTATAGTCTAATTTCCTACTTTCATTTTTGAACTTAGATGCAAAATGAAATACTGAGTTACCCAATGATTGTATAGCTTTCATTAGAGAAATGTAAGAATGTTTCAGTTTTAGGAAATGTGTTAGTACAGCACATTAGAACACCAAAGAAGTGAAAAACAAGAAAACAAAAAAACAAAACCGAAGAACAATCAGTATGGTGACTTAGGTATGCATTGATGTCTAAAACGCATTTGATAAAATTAAATGTTTAGTTCTGACAAAAACTAAGTAAAGTAGGAATCAGTGGAAACTTCCTCAACATGATTAAAAATAAGTATATCAAACCAACACCTAACATCAAATAACAGAGACATTCCCGGTATAATCAGGAACCAGACAGGCTGCCTTCTATGACCACTTTGATTTAACAGTGTTCTGGAAGTTCCAGTCAAGACCATGAGAAAAGAAAACAGTGATGGGGTTTTAAATCAGAAAACCAGAGATAAAATTGTTATGATTTGTTGTTGATATGATTACCACACCAAACCCATTGCAGTGGAGTCGATTCCGACTCACAGTGACCCTATAGGACAGAGCAGAAGCGCTCCATACGGTTTGCAAGGTTGTAATCTTTTCGGAAGCAGACTGCCACATCTTCATCCCTCAGAGCGGCTAGTGGATTTGAACTGCTGACCTTTAGGTTAGCAGCCAAGTACTTAACCACTGTGCCACCAGGGCTAGAGTACCTTGAAAAACTAAGAGAATCAACCTTAAAAAATCCTATTAGTGCTAATTAGATGGGTGGGCAGGAGGGTGGGCAGGAGGGTGGGCAGGAGGGTGGGCAAGGGAACCTGGATGGAACTGGAGTAAACTATGTTCCCCGTCACACCTTCTACTCTTGGTAAACTGGCTCCCACCACCACATAAACAAACATCAAAACTTCTTACCCCCCAGGTCCCAAAGGATCTCTGCTTTGCTCTGCTCAAAATGACTTGAGGTGTTTGTTTAAAGAAGGATATATGATAAAGTGAGGCGGAGAAGACTTTGCACTGGGCTCCATTTTAGTTAAATCATTGTCTGGGAGGATGAGAAAGGCAAGAAAGACATTTCAGGCAGAAAATAGCCTGGAAAAGGTGGAGGATGTGCAATACCTTGGCATAGATGGGGAGTTCAGTTACCACTGGGCATAAAGGGTAAGTAAGGAAGCAAAGGGATGAGCTGAAGAGATAAGCAGGAGCCAAGTATGGATGGCCTTTAAAGTCCAGGCCCAACGATGTGTATATTATTTTGTAAGAGACATAACTCATTGCAGGATTTTAAGCAGGGATGTTAATGATCAACTCACATTTATGTTGGACCTTTAATAATAATAATTTCAATGGGAAATACCATCGTTTATAATCCCTGTTTCTCCAATCTTTGAGGGGAAGCCAGAGAGTAAGAAATTAATGGCAATGATGGAATCAAGTAGCATACACTTAAATGCATGGCTGTATTGGAACATAGGGGGCACTCATTAAATATTTGTTGACTGGACTGACCATACTCATGGTGTATATGTGTGAGCTGCCATATTTGAACCCTTTGAAAAACAGCTATTTAAAACAGTTATCACTTGTATGGGTATTTTGATAAGATGTAATGATCTTACTTCTGGTAGTAATGCATAATATACGAGTTTCATCTGTTTTCAGTTACCTTCGTATCCAAGTTCTTAGAAACAGTTTCCAGGGCAGACACGAGCCCTTGAATTGATTTCTCAGTTTGCCGATATTCGTGCCTGATGAAGTGAATGTCTCCAGAAAGCTTTACAATGCTTGAATCACATCTAGTGGCAAGATGAAAATTGGTAGTGAGATCAATAGACTCATAACATTTTTAATACTACAGTAGAACCTGTATGTATTTGAAATCATTTGATTTCAAATATTCTAAAGTTCTTTAAATAATGTGTTGTAGATGTAAGAAGATATACAGGAATCTTGTTCTTCATTTTCTTCTTTTCTTCCTGATGGGAGAGAAACCAAGTTGAATGATGATACATTGGCCCAAACCAGAGCACCAAGATTTGGAAAAGTTTAGATAGGGACACTGGGATATATTAACGGAAATTTTAAGATTTTCAGTCTGATATATTATCTCAGTCACAGGAGTTCCAATAGATTTTGACATTTTAGGAATACACCCTGCTGCCTATAGTTAGTCAAAATTGAAAATTTTCCTTTCCTATGTAACTTTCTGAATTTCCCTTCCTCTCTGTAGCCTCTTTCCTTAAACTCCAGAGAATCAATCCTTTCTTTGACTGGAAAAGTTGGCCTAGCCCAACAAAGTCTTCTGATCCCTCCTGTAGGCCCTAATCGAAGCTCCTGTTCCTTGACTGGTCTCAGGCAGGTGTTGTTTTATATTAGGGTGATAACAATTCACACTAACAAGTGAAAGAAGCTTGACCTATGAGGATTTTTTTTTTTTTTTGGTCTTTTTTTTAACTCTGTCTCACTCTCTCTCTCTTTTTTTTTTTTATTGTGCTTTAGATGAGGGTTTACAGAGCAAATTAGTTTCTCATTAAAAATTAATACACATATTGTTTAGTGATATTGGTAGCCAACCACATGATACTCTCCCCTCTTGACCTTGGGTTCCCCATTACCAGCTTTCCTGTCCCCTCCTGCCTTCTCGTCCTGCCCCTGGGCTGGTGTGCCCATTTAGTCTCATTTTGTTTTATGGGCCTGTCTAATCTTTGGCTGAAAGGTGAACTTCAGGAGTGACTTCAGTACTGAGTTAGAAGGGTGTCCAGGAGCCATACTCTCAGGGTTTCTCCAGTCTCTGTTAGACCAGTAAGTCTAGTCTTTTTTTGTGAGTTAGAATTTCATTCTACATTTTTCTCCAGCTCTGTCTGGGACTCTTCTATTGTTATCCCTGTCAGAGCAGTCGGTGGTGACAGCCGGGCACCATCTAGTTGTGTTGGACTGACTCTGCTGGAGGCTGTGATAGTTGTGGTCCATTAGTCCTTTGGACTAATCTTTCCCTTGTGTCTCTAGTTTTCTTCATTTTCCTTTGCTCCTGAAGTGGTGGGGCCAGTGGAGTATTTTAGATAGCCTGTCAGATGCTTTTAAGACCCCAGATGCTACTCAGCAAAGTAGGATGTAGAATATTTTCTTTATAAACTATGTTTATGCCAGTTGAGCTAGATGGCCCCCGAAACCATGGTCCCCAGCCCTCAGCTCAGTAATTTGGTCCCTCAGGGAGTTTGGATGTGCCTGTGAATCTTCCATTACCTTGCCTTGGTCAAGTTGTGCTGACTTTCTCAGTATTGTGTACTGCCTTACCCTTCACCAAAGTTACCACTTATCTATTGTCTGGTTAGTGTTTTTCCCTTCCCACCCCTCCCCTCCCATCAAAGATTGTTTGTTTGGTGGGTAAACCCTTTTATAAGTGTTTATAGCAGTGGTCTCATACAATATTTGTCCTTTTGTGATTGACTTATTTCACTCAGCATAATGCCCTCCAGATTCATCCATGTTGTGAGATGTTTCAAAGATTCATCATTGTTCTTTATCATTGTGTAGTATTCCATTGTGTGTATGTACCATAGTTTGTTTATCCATTCATCTGTTGATGGGCACTTAGGTTGTTTCCATCTTTTTGCTATTGTGAATAATGCTGCAATGAACATGGGTGTGCATATGTCTATTTGTGTGATGGCTCTTAATTCTCTAGGATATATTCCTAGGAGTGGGATTGCTGGATCATGTGGTATTTCTATTTACAGCTTTTTAAGGAAGGGCCATATTGTTTTCCAAAATGGTTGTACCATTTTGCATTCCAACCAGCAGTGCATAAGAGTTCCAATCTCCCCACAGCCCCTCCAACATTTGTTATTTTCTGTTTTTTTTTTTTTTTATTTTTGATTCGTGCCAGTAATGTTGGGGTGAGATGGTATCTCATTGTAGTTCTGATTTGCATTTCTGTAGTGGCTAGTGATCGATCATGACCATTTCCTCATGTGTCTGTTAGCCACCTAAATGTCTTCTTTGGTGAAGTGTCTGTTCATATCCTCTGCCCATTTTTCAGTTGGATTATCCGTCTTTTTGTTGTAGAGTTGTTGGATTTTCATATAGATTTTAGAGATTAGAACTTTGTCTGATTTGTCATAGCCAAAAAATTTTTCCCAGTCTATAGGTTCTCTTTTTACTCTTTTGGTGAAGTCTTTTGATGAGCATAAGTGTTGAATTTTTAGACGATCCCAGTTATCTAGCTTATCTTCTGGTGTTTGTGTATTGTTAGTTATGCTGTGTATTAGGGCCTCTAGCATTGACCCTATTTTTTCTTCCACTATCTGTATAGTTTTTGGTTTTATATTTAGCTTTTTGATCCATTTTGAATTAGTTTTTGTGTACAGTGTGAGGTATGGTCCTATTTCATTTTTTTGCAGATAGACATCCAGTTTTGCCAGCACTGTTTGTTAAAAAGACTGTCTTTTTCCCATTTAATGGACTTTGGGCTTTTGTGGAATATCAGGTGACCATAGGTGGATGGATTTACGTCTGGATTCTCAATTCTGTTTTATTGGTCAGTGGGTCCATCGTTGTACAAGTACCAGACTGTTTTGACTACCTTAGCTGTATAGTAGGTTCTGAGGTCAGATAGTGTGAGTCCTCCTACTTTATTCTTCTTCTTCAGTAGTGCTTTACTTATCCAGGTCCTCTTTCCTTTCCATATATAGTTAACAATTAGTTTTCCCATCTTGTTAAAGAATGCTATTGGTATTTGGATGGGGATTGCATTGTATTTGTAGATCACTTTGGGTAAAATTGACATTTTCACAATATTGAGTCTACCTATCCATGAGTATGGTATGTATTTCCATTTATGTAGGTCTCTTTTGGTTTCTTGCAGTAGTGTTCTGTAATTTTCTTTGCATAGGTCTTTTACATCCCTGGTTAGATTTATTCCTAAGTATTTTATTTTTTTTAGGGGCTATTATAAATGGTATTGCTTTCCTGATTTCCTCTTCATAGCTCTCTTTATTGGTGTATAGGAAGCAAACTGATTTTTGTATGTTTGTCTTGTATCCTGCTACTCTGCTGAATCTTTCTGTTAGTTCCAGTAGTTATCTTGTGGAGTCTTTTGGGTTCTCTATGTACAGCATCTTATCATCTGCAAACAGGATAGTTTTACTTCTTCCTTACCAATTTGGATGCCCTTTATTTCTTTTTCTTGCCTTATTGCTCTAGCTAGGACTTCATGCACAATGTTAAATAGGAGTGGTTATAAAGGGCATCTTTGTCTTGTTCTTGCTCTCAGGGTGAATGTTTTCAGCCTCTCTCTGCTAAGAATGATGTTAGCTGTTGGTTTTGTATAGATGTCCTTTATTACATTGAGGAATTTCCTTTCTATACCTATTTTATTCAGAGTTTTTATCAGGAACAGGTGTTGGACTTTGTCAAATGCCTTTTCTGCATCAATTGATATGGTCATGTGAGTCTTTTCTTTTGTTTTATTTATGTGGTAGATTATGTCAATTGATTTTCTAATGTTGAATCATCCTTGCATGCCTGGTATGAATCCCATTGGGTCATGATGTATCATTTTTTTGATATAATGCTGAATTCTATTGGTTAGAATTTTGTTGAGAATTTTTGTATCTATAGTCATGAGAGATATTTGTCTGTAATTTTCTTTTTTTGTAGTGTCTTTGCCTGGTTTTGGTATCAAGGTTATGCTAGCTTCATAGAATGAATTCAAAGAAGTATCCCTTCCTTTTCTATGTTCTAAAATAGTTTGAGTAGTACTGGCACAAGCTTTTCTCTGAATGTTTGGTAGAGTTCTCCAGTGAAGCCATCTGGGCCAGGGCTTTTTTTTGTTGTTGGGAGTTTTTTCTTACCTTTTCAATCTCTTCTCTTGTTATGGGCCTGTTCAGATTTTTGACCTCAGTTTGTGTTAGTTTGAGTAGGTAGTGTTTTTCTAGAAATGTTTCTACTTCCTCTAGCCTTTCAAATTTGTTGGGGTATAGTTTTTCATTGTACTCTGTTATGATCCTTTTTATTTCAGTTGGATCTGTTGTAATGTCCCCCATTTCATTTCTTATTTTGGTTACCTGCATCCTCTCCTGTTTTTCTTTTGTCTGTTTGGCCAATGGTTTGTTAATTTTGTTGATCCTTTCGAAGAACCAACTTTTGATTTTGATGATTCTTTCTATTGTTTTTCTATTCTCTATTTCATTTATTTCTGCTCTGATCTGTATTATTTCCTTTCTTCTGGTGGCTCTGGGCTTCTTTTGCTGTTTTCTTTCTATTTGTTTGAGTTGTATAGCTAATGTTTTGATTTTGTCCCTTTCTTCTTTTTTGATGTGTGCATCTGTTGATATAAACTGACCACTGAGCAATGCCTTCACTGTGTTCTGAAGGTTTTGGTATGATGTGTTTTGATTCTAGGAATTTTTTAATTCCATCTTTGATGTCTTCTACTACCCAATGGTTTGTAAGCAAAGTGTTATTCAGTTTTCATATATTTGATTTTTTTCCTCGCTCTTCTGTTATTAATTTCTACTTTTATGGTGCTGTGATCAGAAAAGATGCTTTGTATTATCTCAGTGCTTTGGATTTTGTTGAGGGTTGCTTTGTGGCATAAGATGTGGTCTATTCTGCAAAACTTTCCATGTGCATTGGAAAAGAATGTGTGCGCTGCTGTTGGGTGAAGTGTTCTACATATGTCTATGAGGTTAAGTTGGTTTATTGTGGCCTTTATATCTTCTGTATCTTTGCTGAGTTTCTTCCTAGATGTTCTGTCCTTTACTGAGAGTGGTGTGTTAAAGTCTTTTACTATTAT